CGCGAAAGCTAGGATGTTCGAGTTGACACGCCTACAACATGCAGGGTTGACATGTCTATCTGCAACCAAATTCTAGCAACAAATCTATAGTGCATTCTCTAAGAATAATTGGTTGACATTCACGTTGCAAACATCTTTAAGGATGTTGGGTGTGCTGAGAACTCTCACATTCATTCTATCATCGTTTCCCCTACAACCGTATAGATGTGGGAGGGACTGCCGGGCAGAATTGCGGTGGAGAATCACCTTTAACGTTCTTTTCTCCAATTGCTAGCATTTTTGTCTCGATACTGATCGAAGGCTTCGATTGAGTACTGCAAATCCGTGGAAGAATTTTTCAATTTTTCGAATTGGTTCCAATTTGTCACTACGGGCGGCACCATCCCTATCCAGTTCGCGCTCTGACATGCTTTGCTTCTTAAAGCTTCAAACTGTTGAGACCAAACTTGACCCAGAACTTCGTTTAAACACGTCTATTACATACTAACAAAAGCAGTCAACAAAAGCAGGACTCCAACTGTTCTTTTTTGAGAGTAAAGGAATTTCCGGATGCTTGGCCGCATCACTTTTTGGTTGTGGGGTGGCCAAAAAAAGAGACACTTCACTCCACATTTCAGACAGCATTAATCACACTTTGCTAAATCAAATCGACTGCCCCAACTCAGTATTAAAGAGCACATTCTAATCTATCTAAAATTACATGACAGCCTTCTACACCGACGACATCAGAAGATTTTCCCACGGAAACATGGTTCACGGTACGAGCTCAACGAGGTCGTCGAGGTACCATAGACCATTACGACGTCCCTGAAACGCTGGTCAAAAGCGGTTTTGCACAGCTATGTCTCTGGGAAGCTATTCACAGTTAATCCATTGAAGAAATTATGTAGCAGCTTCAGGCCGGAGCGATTACGGTAAGCCTCGTTGAGCTCGACGGTGGCGGCAGATGACGTCATATTCTGAAGACGGCGGGGGCAGTGAAGGAGGGCCTGCTTCTGTTTACGGGGAACACCTAAGGAATATTCCGCCGTAAAACTTTCATTAACATCGGCTCCCTGTGCGACGAAAAGTTCGATGATGTGCGCCATGGGCAAAGTGTCTCTTTTTTTGGCCACCCCTGTATATTCCAAGCTTGAAGAACACGTTCATTTATTGGATTTCATTGAGGTTCAAGTCAAGGACATAATTTATGTGAGTGACGAGTTTCAGGGTCCATTGCGCACGAAATTACCTATATTGAAGGTGGGCTGCCTGCATACTAGTCACAATTATTCAATGCGGTCTCCAGTAAATATCACGAGAGAATACCAATCATGGGATCCATCATCGATCGTCAATGTAGTTCAACATTTCAAGAAGAAATGCTCGTGTCAGGTCTCATTGCCTCGGACCAGGTCGACTTCACCCCCCACGCGAAATTCACGCCCAACACACTCTCGAGTGTCTGAGCTGTTCGCGAACATCTTCAGCAGGACACCGGGACAGGCCCCGTGACAGGCCGGCCTACCAACATTTCAGTCGTATTTCAGTGATAATGTCGTTACATGTATCTCGAAATGCTGCTACGGCGACGCGCACTCGCAAAGCTCGGCGGGTGTGCAAAATTGTAAATGTGAGGGTCTCCAGTGCAAGGAAGGCACCCGGGAGGGGGGGGGGGCAAATATGCTAGTCCTAAAGCCCCGCAACGTATCAGGAACTCGCATTGTTGGCAGGAGTACGGGCCGCGATTGCGAGCTGGTAGAAGCACTGCAGCGCCGAAAAATAGTCTTCTGTGCAGGAAACGAGGTTGTCCAACTGCAAGTCCGAGGGAGATTTTCCGCGGCTTCGAAACGGTTCTATGTGGCGGTCCCAAACCACCAACGGCGTCGGGATGATTGTCTCTGAACGCTTTCGTGATTCGATAGTAAGCGTGGAGCGCTTCGACGACCGCTTAATGAAGATCATTGTCGTCATCGAACAACAAAAATACCACTTCTTCTCTGCGTACGCTCCGCAGACTGGATGCTCCGAGCAAGCCAAGGACAAGTTCTGGAACCTGCTTGATGAGAAGACAGCTGAGGTACCGTCACAAGAAGCCATAATTGTTGCAGGTGACCTCAATGGGCACGTGGGCGCTACGAAAGACGGTTACAGCTGTCACGGTGGTTTTGGATATGGGTCACGTAATACTGATGGCGAGCGAATTCTCGAGTATGCAGACTCGCATAACCTCGCCATTGTGAACACGAAAAATTCAAAAAACGTGACTCACATCTCATCACCTTCTATAGCGGTAAGAACCAGAACACAAATTGATTTTCTACTTTTCAGTATTTGCCACGATCAGCCGTAACAGACGCGAAAACAGTACCTCACGCAACACCGACCACTAATTTGCACGATAAGGATCATTAAGTGGTGCGACTGAAGGGAAATTAAGCGACCGTCGTTTCCCGCATTCGATTACCAGCGGTAACGACTGTCGACGAAACTTGGAAAGGTGCTGCCGAAGCGATAACCGGGTTGCTCGATCCGAGCTCGGCATGACGAAGCCTGGACGGCGGAGAATTGACAAGCAAACATGGCTGTGGACGGACCAGGTCAGAGAGAAAGTGCGCGAAGAAGAAAAGCGCTACCACGCTTTTCTTTCGGAGAAGACAGCTGTTGCTGGCAGCGCTATCAGATAGCGAAGAAAGAGGCAAAGAAGGCCGTTGCTTCTGCGAAAGCAGCTCATTTTGCCGATCTCAACGAGAAACTCACGCGATGACGAGAAAAGTTCATCGGCATAAACGACGAGAATGGCACCTCTTGACGGACCGCAAGAAAACACTGAAGCGATGGCGTGACTACTTCGAAAACATCTCAACAGTCGAATTTGCTCATCCCGCCATCCCCTGCGCTCCGCCAGTACACGGCCCCGTTCAGAAGATAACCATGGAGGAGACCATCACGGCCATGAAGAAGATGAAATCAGGCAAAGCAACTGGTCCTGACGACTTAGCGGCGGACTTGTGGAAATCAAAGTGCTGGATTCTGCAGAATATTTAACCCATAACGGACGGCCAGTGTATTTTTCGCGTGCGCCACCATGTGGCGCACGCCGCCACCCAGGGTAGGGTTTATGTAGGCTTATGCGAACAGCAGGGGTAAGACGGGGCTAAAGTAGGTGTCGGAGTCTCATCATCCAAAAAAAGAGATTTCCGTTGACGACAAGTTCGTAACCCGCCTTTCCGCTCTAAAACTAGGGTGCAAAGAATGAATGGAAGCTGTAGGTGACATTATCGAAAAATGCGAAACAACAACCCCGAGCAAGGATGTGGCTATATTTAGGGGAAGGGGTCTCGGGACGTGCGAACCATGGGTAAGCCACCCATCAAATAGTAAACTTATGTAAATTAAGACAAAATGTATGTAAAATTTATTGTAGGTTTGTCAAAAATCCAGCCGTCCAGGTCCTGGGAAGATATGTTATTCCACATTGCTGAGAGTATATATGGGTATATTAAGATTGCTAGAAACATTCCAAAAACAAAAGAAATAGTCGTGCGCCACCTTGTGGCGCACGCCGTCCGTTATGGGTTAACGGATCAACCAGGTCATTGCAGAGAAAAAGGTGTCTGAGAGCTAGCAACAGAACACGATGATTCCGAGCTGGAAGAAGAAGGGAAATAGATGGCAGCTAGTGCAGTCCAGGACATCCTTTGGCGAGAATCTTTGAGCGTATTGTACGCAGCCGTATCCGTGACATCGTCGAGCTGACCACCAACCAGTGTGGTTTTGTGGCTGGTTGCAGCACCATCGATGCCATACACGCCGCTCGCCTTCTGCTAGAAAAGCATCGCGAAAACAAAGACCGGTGCATCTTGCCTTCCTAGACTTGGAGAAGGCTTTCGATCGCGTTCCGCGTGACGTTATATGGTATGCCTTACGACAGCATGGCGTTCCCGAAGAGCTCATTGAGTGGGTGCGCATCCTTTACTCGAGTCCAAAGAGCCGAGTGCAAACGGCGGCAAACACATCGAAGGATTTTCCCATTTCTGTCAGGGTACACCAATATCCCCTTTTCTTTTTTTGTCGTCCTACATGCCAAGAGACCTCCAGAAGCCGGCTCCATGGACGCTTCTTATGCTGATGACGTGATGCTCGCTAGCGAAGATAAAAGCACGCTCGAGCAACAGGTGCAAACCTGGTCCGACCGTCTAGCTATGTTCGGGCTCAGGTTGAATGTCAAAAAGACAGAGTACTTGACCACCGATCCGAGTGAGCCAGGCTCTATTAAGATCAATGGTACTGAGCTCACACGTACAACAATCATTCAAGTATCTTGGATCAGCAATTGCGTCTGACGGCAGCCTGGTTCATTGAAACGAATTCTCGCGTGAGTGCAGAATGGTTGAAATGGCGTTCTCTGCAATAAAGACACACACATTTTTCAGCAACCCAAATCTACGCTCTGAGATTAAATTGTTAACACACACGTTGCGGAAATTCTCGAAAGAGGTTGAGTGTGCTGGGAACCCTCACATTCATTTTAACATCCTTTCCTCAACAGTTAGCGATATTTAGCGCTTACTGTCGCCGAAACGGTTACTACGTCTAACAGTTTATCCCTAAGAATCTCAGTGTGATGTCCTTGTGTATATGAGGTATAATTTTAAGGCCTGAAGAAGCTGTTATACAGCGAAAGCTTGCCAATAAATGTGTATGAATGAGCCTTCACTGCTGATTTCTTGAAGAAGATCTTACACAAATGAGGCCTCAGGGATAACTCGATTTTGTCACTAGAAATTCAGTCGAATGCCATGCATTTTTGAGTGAGAAGAATTTTTGTGCACCATTTAACGTATTCTGGTGTTCTACTAATGCGACCAATCCGAATTGTTACCTGCACAAACATCGATATGTAGGTGATATGCGCACAAACACTAACATACCATATTTATTGCTACCACAAGATTTATAACACTAGAAACATTGCAACTATGCTTCAATAGCATCAATAGCTGTAGCTGAACTCGAGTTCAACACAACCCGCAAGCGCGTCCGCAGTACTGCATTTTGTATGCTTGTGAATAGAATGAGCTGTTGCAGAATCCATTTCGCACCCAACTAGCACAACTGGAAACAAACAAGATAATACCTTCATGTCTGACCGTACCAATGTGATCAAAACTATGTGAATCAGGTCTGGTTGTCCACTAGTATTAAATTGATGTTTTAGAAATAAAATTACTTGAATAACCGCACTGCTTTTAATCTTTCGTAAGTCCATTATTTCTCTTCTTCCCCTACCCCTTTGAAAGAGACATATGAGTTTGGGTCTTGTCTAGGATTCTCTTTAGGTGTGAATTGAGGGCTGACAAAAACTCGAGCAACTTCCTTTTACATATGTATATGCCGTAAGTTTGCTGAGTGCTGCGCATCCATGACATGAGTATATCACGGTGTTCGATTTCAATTCTATTTCGCTGTGCATACAGAATCAAGGCTAGACATAATAAGTTGTCAGCAATGGAAAAATTCGCTACTTGATTTGCTCAGCAGCACAGGAAAACTAATCAGGCAATCTAGGCGTGCCAATCGTTTCCCGAAACGATCCTTCACTTTTTCTGAATGGCTCTCTGAATACCAAACAATTAGCGAAGGAAAATTACCTTAGAAGCTATTGTTTTCACTACTTCGTTGTGGCGGACATCATCCACATTGACTAATGTCATATCAAAAAGTTCTTGGTTAACCCTACTTTGAAAATCACGTCAAGTTCGAAAAAACCAGTCGGATGTCCGAGCTACACTGCGTTTCATAATTATAGGTCCACCCTAAATTTTTGCTATTCCAAAGTTGCTGTGCATTTTTGGAAAATGCTGCTATCACCAATAGATTCCTCATAACGGAAAACCTTCATAGTGTTTTTCTGACAAATTCCCCCTCAAGTAACCCAATTAACTTTTTCAGAACGAATTTTCACCGTTTCATGAATATCGGGCCACTCATAAAAAGTTTCCATTTCTCATGATCCGTGAAGGGAATCAGGGAAGCGGGGATATATGTGAGCTCAGTCGACATCGAGTTTACCATACCTCGTGTTACTCGCCTCTCTTCCCAGTAACAAGCTCAAGCCAGAGCACTTACTGAAGTGGGATGGCTGAGGAGCAGAATTTCCTCCCATGTCGGCCGGCTCATACTGCATAAGCAACTATGTGCGAAATCCTGGTCAGTGCGGAAAGAAGAGTAGTCGTGGTCGGTGAAGGACACTTTTTATTCAAGATTCAAGAGGAATTGGGCGTCTGTCGAATTATACAAGGAGTCCGAACAAGGTCCGTGCTGAAATGCGGCCTTCCTTGAGCAAAACCTTCGTGTGGTGGATAAGCCAGCAGAGCAAGAACATCTTCAGCGGATTGATGAAGAGCGTTCCAAGATTATTTGAGCGCTACAAGATCGCACGTCTCCATTTCTCCGTGGAAAAGGGCTCAACTTAATGAAGCGAAGGTGTGGCTGTTAAGACCCTTCGCGATCTTGGACTCTACCTCCTTGTTTCGTTGCTACAGGTGATCTGAGATCGACGTGAAAAGTTTATTCTAGGTGGATCTGATAGAAAAAGAGGGTACAGGAGGATCGCGTGAAAATCGCAGATGGTTTCAATGTAACGTAATTTCGGCGGTGAATCCCTTATGGTTTGAGGCACCTTTGAACGACTGAGCGGCTAGAGCTCGCTTTTGTTTCCTTTCACAAAGATTCCATAGGGTATCGTGAAGTTCTTTTGAAGCGAGTTTTACCATTTTTTCGACAACAATCCCCTCTATCCTTGATTTTTACGCACGATAACGCGGCTGTCCATGCCGGTCCTTCCACGCCAGATGGAATTGCAGGAAAAAATGTGGCAGTTATCTGGTGGCCACCATGTTATCTGAATCAGATTCCAATAGAGAATCATTGGGCCTTAATTGTTATAAAGTTCCACAGCAAAGTAAAGCAAAATGGAACAGCCGAAGAGCTGAAAACGTCGATCATCGGCGCCACAGACAAATTTCGATCCTACTGTAATAGCTAATTTGGTTACCAGCATTCAAAACGTATTATTGTGTTCCTTATGATTAATGGAGGACCATCCCATTATTGAAAATTCGTGACGTTTTTTTGTTATAGTAAAATCTCTCGACAAGTGATGTGTAGTCATATTTGCGAAACGGTGAAAATACGTTCTAAAAAAGATATTTTAATAATTCTGAATCGAGATTTCTCCAGAAATCAAGTATCAAGGTTTTTCGTTATGGGGAAACTATTGGTAATAGCGGCATTTTCCAAAAATGCACAGCAACTTTGGAATAGCAAAAATTTAGGGTGGACCTATAATTATGAAACGCAGTGTATTTGGTGAAAAAGTGTATGGTTTCGTTAGCGATTTGTTTACGGAAGCTCCGGTGGCCTGGTCTCAGACAATTGGAGGGAAAATGTTGGGACGCTGAAATGGCCAAATTGTGCCGGGACCAAATAAAATGCGATTTCCGCGATCAAAGTACTTTTCTCCCTCTTGACCAAAGTTTCGGAAGACAAAAAAGATTTAGATAGCTTCGAAGGATTGGAACAGAATTGCAATCATAACCGTCATGTGGCCACGGACGGTTTGGGTACAAGCTAAACGGGAAATTCAGATGCGTCTAGTGTTACGCATCAAAGTTTACCCCTCTCTCGTGGCGCAGATCTCACATTAAAGTGCGTTTTTCAAAGCCGATTCAGCTTTCAACAAAGAGGGGTCTAGCAGGTGGAAGCGCCGAAAACCTAAATCATCTACCGTTGAGGCCTGACGGACTACTGATACCCATGGTCCAATTGTTCAAACGTTTTTAGAAATTCTGACTTCCTCCAAAGCATTGAGTGTAAGGGTTCAGTGCCCTGATTCCAAATAAGGTGATCGTTTTATGGCGTGGATGCCATCTGGCGTGTCTATCACACCACTCGGCGCCAAACTGGTGCAGTACGTGCCGCAAATTTTTTACCACTTTTCCAGTCAAGGAATACTTATGGAAGTTAATAATGGATTCTACTGAAATGACATTGTTTGTGATTGACTGCATTGTTCAAGTTATCGCCATTCTGCTCCACTTTTGAAATCCTAGCTCAAAAAGCAAAAAATTGTCATTGGACCCCTTCCTCACCCCTTTTTTGGTATTCAGGAGCCCACTCAAAAAAGATAGAACATAGATTTTGGTCCCTGTATCCCTACCTTATGCGGGAAGCAATTTTAAGAGACTTGGCAAAACCTTCTTGGTGGTAAGTTCTAAATTGAAAGAATGGAGGACAAGTCTTAGAGGTAGCAAGCCCGCTACTCACGCTTCTGCTATATCTCGTTAGCCTTAATCTCCTTATTTTGATCACTATCCAAGCACTACCTCAGGCACTGGACGTAAACGCGGTCTGTCGATGTTTTCTTAGGCAGAACAACCTATCAAAAACTGATGGCGCCTTTCGGCACACTAGCATTGCTTAACGAACCGACTTCGAAACCTTAAACCTCATGAATGTGATCGGCTGGGGCACGAGAATCTACGGCCCAGTTGAGAGTACGCGCGAACGCACAAAAGCATTCCACGGAGTGCAACTGATGTTCGTTGAGTATAACGAAAAATTTACTTCGGATCCGATCCACATCCAGTTCCTGAAAAAAAGTGCATTTGGAAGAGTCAAGCACTCTAGGGTGACCAAGCCTTTACATCATACAAAATCCCCAAAATTTTCTCGTCTTCTAAGCAGACATATTATATTGAAGAAGAATGACCTATCTTCTCTTTTCAAATGACGTTCTTATGCCTACATGCAGATCTAAATACTTGTTGCATTAAACTGATGGTGACCGCTTTGCACAACTTCAATGCAGCAGGGAGTAAAGTTACAAGATGTATTCAAGAGTTGCAACCGATGAGCGCAACTTCGCGAAGTAGAATCGAATTCCGGCTACGGTAGAAGCCGTTCTCCTGTCCAATATTTGCAACCGAAGTTGGCACGAAGCCACATTGGGGACCTCTAATCGCAGATGCACTCAGGCGCTTATCCTCATGCACCGATTGAAAGCATAGGGAACAGGATAAAGCCTCCTTATCAGACGATCCAAACGTGTGGATTTATGGTAATGAGGAGGGCCGTGTGCCAAAAAGTCTGCGGTAGAATTTGCGGGGACTTGGTCGGTGGGGAGAGGAGGGTAATCTAACAGGCGCCATGTTTCAGAAGATGTAATAAGGCGCTCGGGCGCTTCGCTTAACTTTTGCTAGATCGATGTGGTGAACTTCGCCTAAGGCCGCTGCAAAAGTAACGAGCATGTTACGCTTGTGCAGCTTGAATAAAAATGCAGGCTCAGGCATCTGTGATAACGCGAAAAGGATCGGAATGGTTGCCGATCATTCGGTCACCGGTCACAGCTAGAAGAAATTGACGCTGTTGTGCCGCACTTCCACGCAAAAACTGCAATCTTAGGTTTTTTTGAGGAACCGGTGCTTTACTCATCCCATATAAGTGCATTCGTAACTGTAATAGGGGTTGTATCGAGATCATCTGCTTGCGTTGATCTCAAAAAATTTGAAAATCATCTGAATGCAACGGTTCACCCTGCTTGAAGTCGCTTCGCCGTTAAAATACGCTTGGAGTGAATAGCAAATATTGAAATGCGCAGTCTTACAAATAACCAACCTGGTGCTACGGTCGCGTCTTGACAGTATCCGCATGTCTTCTTGCAATATTGCTTAAAAGATATTCAAATATACTCGAGTTATTAGTTGTGCCATGCATCAACAAGCTAGTGATTGTCAATCAAGAAGGAGACTCACTTACCCGTGCAAAGGTTTCCAGATTCTTGCTCTGGCAAATGATACCACCATCCAAGTTGCAACCAGGTGCTGTATCGACGCAGTTTCCGGAAATTCGATATGATCACCCTTATAAAAGTATTGGGCTGTCAGGTAGTTCTTAACGTTTTTTCTTTTTGTATTTGACCTATATCATTACTTTCCTCTACCAGGAACTCGGCAGCAAACCATGGCACTTTGCTCGCCGGTACTATGGCTATGCCGTTTTCAAAATTTCAATGTTTTTTGGATATAGGGCCCAAAAATTATAGTATATCTAGGGGAGGGGTCCCAGAATTTTCGGTATACTTACCTCAAATTTTCCATGAAGGCCATTACACCTTTTCTCGAAATTTCCGTTCAAAGCATCGCCTGGGATACACTCTTGGTGAACTCGCCAACACTTTCATTAGGTGAATTGAATTTCGTGAATTAGGCTCATGAATTGAAGCGCAGCCGATAAATGAAAGTCATCTGCTCCACTACAATGCCCACCTTAAGAAAATGAATTGTCAGAGTCGTCCTAAATATGCTTAAAAGGTTATTTCTTTAGCAAATGCTGCACTCACTCACTCAAATGCCAATCTACCATGAGTCGAATCAATGCGCGATGCGTGCTTATTGAGAGCCTGGTCGCGAAGATGACAGGATGAACCATAACGAGGGTATTTCAGCAGGTGAAAGGAGGGTAGTGGAGAGTAGCTCCGAGAAAAGCAGTGGATCGTATTCAATGGAAGCCTGGTAGTTCAGTCGCGGCGTATTTTCACTGATGTGGATCCACCTAATAATACAGGATAGCTAGAAGTGATTTTTGTCTTTATAAATAGCGAAGTGAAGGTGACGTAGTGACGTTTCGGGAAATTGTGCAGAAATTTTTTGTTGCCTTTGTGTAATTTCCATGATGGCTATTTCGAGTACGGGCAAGCACAAAGAGACACAGCGTTAACTAAATAATTGCTGTGTGGGTAGCTCGTATTTGATCAGCTGGAACGGAGTGGCGAGTGTACGTGTAGGAGCACTTGGAGGCACATCCCAAACAGAAGAACCATACTCTTCAGTCTCCAGAAACAACCATAAGATGGCAAACCACAGTTATAATATTCCCGATCATAAAAATCGCCTGCCATGACCGCTAAGTCCTAGCAACATTAGCTGTAGCTGCTGTACCTCGTCCTCAGCAGGCTGCAGTCAGGCATTCCCTCACCCGTTGCGCTCTCTCGCTTCATACTCTCCTCGTCGTGCTCAGTCTCTAGCTGTCTTAGCACAGCCGCATAAGAGGCGAGCAAGCTTGCAACCTGACCGTTTTCGACAGATTCTTTCCCTTTTTCCTTTACTCCACACAAGTTTAGTGCTGAAACATGCTAATTTTCAAGGTCGCCTGCGGTGGGTTCTTTCGATGGGGGGCGACTCCACTCTTATACAGTTATAATCCTTAAAGAGCAAACACATCATAACATCGTAGCATTACTATATTGTATGTTTGTACGTCTCCGAAACCAGAAAAAAACCAAAACTATTTCAAGATCGAGGCAATGTTTTGGTATTTCTCCCTTTTTGTGCTTGACATAACCTAAGCGTGCCTACTGATCGATAATGATGCATATTACTTGAGTCCTGTGAATTTACGTCTGCAAACAAAGACGAAAACGGAGTTTTTATGTAACGCTACAGAATGACTCGGATTAATTTGGCCAACCTGCATCGCAGAAGCCGCAGGCTTTTTGGGCAGTCCTCTTGAAGAATGGTCTTCCAGGCAATACTTTCGCACATTGCCTGCGTAACTGACGAGCACGGTATTCGCGGCTCTGGAAAGCTCATATATTAGCAAAACATGTCCGCTTGGTAAAGATTGTCACGAATGAGCTCGTAGCTTTTCTTCTCCTATACAGTCGTACTGGGATGCTCCAACTCACGCAGTTTGTCATGACATAAAAACGCAGGAGTGAGGCAGCAATATCCACAATACTTTGGACACAGATCAACAGACGCTTGAACCAGTTGGGGATCCTGAAATAGACATGCTGGCTCTTCGTTGCATTCGCTTTATTTTAAGAGTTGACCGCAACGGTTGGACGACGGCTAATATGAATATCAGTCACACGGCATACTTCTCAGGAAGCACTCCAAACAATCATGGCTGTTGGGTCGGTGAATGGCTGCTGCGGGCGTGCATAAGATCATCGGCCACCTATTTGGATATGGTTGTCATTGCTTCTAATTGTGTGAATTTACTCTCCGTCGTTGAGAATCGTGCAGCAACGGTCTTGCCACATTGGGCAGAAGTGATCTTACGATTCGGGCAGAGCAGAGATTGGTTGAAAGACAAGGTTTCAATAGATTCTGATGGGTGTGGAAGGGGTGTGAAGTGATTCGAAAGCAACGTTAAGAGCAGGAAAATTCGTCAAGATTATGCAAAATGGAACTTCCCGCCTGCCTTTCGATGATCGACTGTGAATGAGTTAGCAATAAAAAGGGCTTTCGTACGTGTCACACGATGGCCAACATCGCGTCGAAAAATATCCTGGTTTTATTGAATACGGGCGCTTGAAGTTGAATGCTCTTTCGAATTGAGTAGCTAGCAATGCTTCTATTACTATTATAACATCATGGTGGGCGGAGCGGTTAGGAGGGCGTTACGGTTTTCAGATTCGGAGCATCAGCGCACTGCAGTTAGCTCACCGTTCGCTACGAAAACGCTTCAACGTGCTTCCTTTGTGCTTGGCTACTGCTAATAGTGCCGCATATACTCTCTGGGTGTGCATGCTCATTATCAGGATCAGATCAATGCCTTCAACGCACACAACCTAATGACAACCTTCTCAGCTATTTTCAAAAATTCTCCAGAAATAAACTGTTGTCAACTGACCAGCCCACAAGCAAGTGTTCCGAAAAATAGCGATAAAAACTGAAATGGACATTCTCCGCCCACGGAAAAGGGGCTTAGATTTTCTGAGCAAAGCTTAACCAAAAAAGTCACGTACTATCGCTGCGTCTCCTCCGCATTTTACATCTCGATTTACGGGCTGGCCTGCAACCGCTGCCGCACCGTATAGAGCGGCACAATTCGCATTTGACAGTTTGTCTTGACAGTTTGTTGCCGATGGAGCGAACTGAAAAGAGTACTGATCGAAGCACAACCACACAGGATCGTCTAAAAATCTTTACACAACAGTAACGACATATTTGAGACCGGTGTAATTTATATTATTAGGAAATAATGATACGAGGCAAAAAAGGAAACTGAAACAAAAATCGTGCTGCGAAGCACATTGTGAAGCATTCAAATCTGACAGATAGTGTGTTTTCATCATGACTGAGTTTGCTCGAGATATTTTATAGCAAAGCGCGGCTTCAATATAGAATGCAATACTCCAGCAATCCAAGCTTATTTGAGCTTGCTCGCCAATTCTTAGCTGTTATTCTAGAAGGATTGTGGTTACATACCTTGAGGGCACCACCTTCATATATCGTACAGTTCAAGTCCACAGCTCCTGCCCATACACATCCTACGAGTAGCGACGAAGACAGTAGAAAGCGATACATGCCTTATCTGAAAATGTCCAATGATCCAGTTTGATTCGACGATGCAGAAAAGTGAAGCTCGGCAAATGAACAAACAGAGGACCTTTTATATTGTAGCTACCTCCCCACTCCAATACACCTGACCAAATTTTCTGCTGAGCGTATGGCAAAGCAGTTCGAACACTACCTTTTGACGTTATGTGACGTTCACCGCAGAAAAAAATCTTTGAAAAGCTGTTTGTACTATTTTATCGGAGAGACACGGAACTACTCCAACTTCAAACTGAGATATATCGCCATCACTCCACAAGTTGTGCCTGCAGCCTCAAGTGTCCACTTTTTCCTTTGATTTCTTCCATCGCTGTAAGGTAATCAACTGTATAGCAGTTTATAACGCTATAGCTTTGAAAGAATCTGGCGAGCAAAGAAAGGTTTAAAAGGACATCATTTTTCGCCACTCTGACAAATTCGATCCCATGGGAGGCATTCAACTTCCCATGGAACTTGAGAGTTGTGAGACCCAGATATATCGATAGAGCTTCAAACGCTGATTACAAATATGGAAACTAAAACTGCAAAATGAACCTGCCAAGGAAGTTGTGAGCAGTCAAAGTTGGCTAAAGTAAAGCGTTACATATGAACCGTGCTGTCCAGGCTTTCAGAGTCGCCGCGGAGTAGCGATAGTGCCCCCGCTCTCCACCCGGGAGGTCATAAGTTCTCTTCCTGTTGGAGTGCAAATTTTGAGAGCACTACCACTGCTCCACAGCGACTCTGAAAGCCCGGCATGTAGGGCTTCTCTTGAAGCCATTGACTACTCACAACTTCCTTGGCAGGTTCATTTTGCAGTTTTAGTTTAGAAGTTTGTGAATGATATAATGATGAATCTGAATGCCATTCCTGGACAGTTGTCCATCTTTTGCTGACAGAGTTCCGATATTTTTCGACTGCTTGCCTAATGCCTTCCTTCTTATTCACTTAGCTGAAGTATAACAGGCAGGCAATATGAGCTTTTCTAACAAGGAAGAGTCAATGGTCAGTCCCGCAATTCAACGAGATGATACCTACAGGGTGGCGAAAAATTATATGCGCTATAAAAAACGTTCTAACTTCATGTGCATAAAAACTCGAAGAAAATCAACTTTATAAGACAGTGAACTATAACATCGGATGATTACACAAAATTTTGAAAAAGGCCGCTGTCAGTTTTGATATAGGTCTGAATTCGTTCCGACACCGAGTCGCTGGTGCGGCGAAGCTAGAGAGTTCTCTAGTTTGAACAAGGCTCCATTGATTTTTGTCGATAACACCATGGAAGTCAATGCGGACATCTATCATGAATAGACCCTAAAGAAAGTCCTAAAAGCAGAGTCACAACAGTGCTGCTTTTCCACAGGAAATGGGCTCCAGCCCATGACCAATACAACGATCGTATTGTTCGAGACCAAAATCGACTTTTTTTAACGGTGGTTTTGTGGCCTACTACGGAATCAAAGTCATCTCACTTCTCTGTTCGAGATCTTATTAAAGTTTAGTAAGGAACCGAAACGCAGAAAGTTTGGTGACCCTGAGAAGAGCTTTTCGAAATTTGAAATTAATTAGGCTTTGAACTCTTCCGCCGCATCTACTCGATGAAGAAAACAAAATGGGCTTGCGTCAAGACCTATGGCGGCCACTTCAAAATTTCTTTGCAGTTATTGAATGCATCAGTCTCATGAGCATAGTTGTTTTTAAAATTTTTGTGAACAGAAGATAGAATTGAAATGATCTGGCGCACGTAATTTTTCGCCGCCCTGTATATACAGGGGTGCCAATAAAAAAAGACATTTTGTCTCCAGACTCAAATGGATTTAATCACACTTTGCTCAGCTCAAAGCGTGTGCTCCCAACTTAGAATTGAAGAGCGCATTTCATTTCATAAGAAAATCTTCATAGTGGCCATCTACGTGGACGGCATCAGAAAAGTTTGCCCCGGAAACATGGTGCTCTGGTCGAGCTCAATGGGGTTCTCGACTGATCGTGTACCGTTACGACGGGTTCCGAGGGGGTTTGCATAGTTAGAGCTAATGTCCCTAGGAAACTATCCCACGTTGAATCGATCCAAGAAATTATGTAAGAGACTTCAGGCTGAAGCAGTTACTGTAGGGTTCGGAGGGGCTTTGCATAGTTGGAGCTAATGTTCCTAGGAAACTATCCAACGTTGAATCGATCCAAGAAATTATGTAAGAGCTTCAGGCTGAAGCAGTTACTGTAGGCCTCCTTGAGCTCGACGACGGTGACAGATGACGTCATCTGAAGACGGTGAGGGTAGTGAAGGAGGGCCTGCGTGCACTTATAGAGGGACATTTACTTAGAATTCAGAGCGCATTTCATTTCATAAGAAAATCTTCATAGTGGCCATCTACGTGGACGGCATCAGAAAAATTTGCCCCGGAAACATGGTGCTCTGGTCGAGCTCAATGGGGTTCTCGACTGATCGTGTACCGTTACGACGGGTTCCGAAGGGCGGGTTCCGAGGGGGTTTGCATAGTTAGAGCTAATGTCCCTAGGAAACTATCCCACGTTGAATCGATCCAAGAAATTATGTAAGAGCTTCAGGCTGAAGCAGTTACTGTAGGCCTCCCTGAGCTCGACGACGGTGACAGATGACGTCATATTCTGAAGACGGTGAGGGTAGTGAAGGAGGGCCTGCGTGTACTTATAGAGGGACATTTAGGGAATATTTTGCTGAGGAACTTCCGTCAACGACGGCAATCTCTGCGAAGAAAAAAAAGGCCGAAGTGCGACCTGGCAAAATGTCTTTTTTGCCCCCCCCCCCTTATGTTTCTCGAGACGTGAAGCTCAGTGTTGGGCTATCTGAGAACGATTTCCTAGGGGAAGTTCTGAAGCAGAAAAGCGCAGCAGTAGTGGCCTTGACTGTAGCCAAAAGTTCTGAAATCAACTCCAACGCGAGTCTGTACCTGTGCTTTCTCGAAAATAGCTAAAAAGAGTTCTCGCGTTGCAACTCCATCATAGCTTGTCTGTACTGTATGCAGTACAGCTTCATGAGCTTTCGTGGGCAATTAATGAGCTCGAGCAGCACAGTTTGTAAACCCATAACACAGACAAATAGAGACACGTGCTGCTGAAGGGACGGTATTTCTTATCTTTTTGAAAGGAGCAGAAGCACGGACTTGCACTAAGTCGATCTCATGGCTCTTGCTTTTGGTTCGGGTCACTACCGTTTCCTTGCTTTATAACTTCTTTCCAGATACTGAGAACTGGACTAAAAGGTTAAAGGTGATTGTCAGAATTTCAACGGTACAGTGAACGTACGGTGAACTTTTATTTGTGAAGCAAAAGGCGTTCAAGGATCTAAGTCCTTTGAAAAAAATACTGCATTTCCTTGTGTCTCTCTCTCCGATTACGTCTCGCATGAACAGGAACTGACCGTCTGATGCACGATAGGGTCTATTAAACGCTTCGTATTTAATATATCAATATCTTTGAACAGATTTTCGGAGAGTTGGTATATGTTCCATTTTTTTCGGATTCTGTTTAAGGACAGTCTACCTCTTTTCATTGCTTTGCAGATTTCTGGAAGCAGGTTACTGGAAAGTTCGTCGAAAAATGTGAGCCTCGAAGAACTCGTTTTAGGCCGACTTTGCTTGCCGGGCAATCCATTCCAACTTGAGCAGGTCTTCGTAAGAACTTGTGAACAGGGTCAAGCGTGCGTTGAGGAATCCTCGACACGTCACAGGGGGGGGGGGTCGTATTGGCCCGCTGGGGGAAGAGATCGGGCCGATTGATGCAGTAGGATCATCACCGTCGGAGGACAAACATCAAGGATGAGTCGATGCCAGGCCAGAGGATTTCCAATGAAAATGATATTTCACCCACACAAAATTTTCGTGATTCTGAGGCGTCCGGTAATTCTTAGTTACTTCAGTGTTTTATCACCACACAAGTTAAAGAATCTGAATTTCGCACGCTTTCCAAGAGATATTTCATCTTTCAAGTAAGACCCCGAATCTGAAGGGATGTGAGGTACACGGCGCATCCGAGAAAGGGTCTAGTTGTTGCGCGCGCTTCAACTACGGCTCCTTGGACAAACAACCTCAATTCAGGAACAATCGAGAGAATTCTGAAAGTGTCCGTGCGCATTTACAGGGAGGTGTACACCATTCAACATTGCGTTAACGGACTCTTCAGGGTTAAATTTATAAACATGTAACCTTTAAAGTTGAGAAACGCTAATCAATCACTTTTCTTAGAAAGAGAAAAGCAGTGATCTGCTCTTACTTTAGTACATAATCGCCCTTAAAAGGATATACAGCCGTTGAAATAGTGCCAATGTAGCGAAAAAGTACCTTTCGGCGGTACTCGTGCAAAAATCCTCAACGTAGCCGTTTTTTTAATACTGGACGTTTGGAGCAGTTCTAGTAAGCATTTGATAGAGCAAATCTTCTAGTTTATGATGACGTATTTACTTTTCAGATTGGATGAGTTTGAACGGAGTTATGGCTTTGGAAAGCGTAAAAACTCGCACTCATCACGAATTTTCCTCGTTAATTTTGCAAAAATCCTCAACGTGGCCATTTTTTGAATACTGGACGTATGAAGCTGCTTTAGCAACCGTTTGATAGAGAAAATCTTCTAGTTTTGTCTGCCATATTAACTTTTCGAATTTGACGAAAATGAAGCAAGTTGTTGCTTCGGAAAGTGTAAAAACTCGTGCTCATCTCGAATTTTCCTCGTTAATTGACCTAAATTTGTTATTTCTTATAACTTTTTGTAATTTCAATACTGATTAGAAAAAGCTCTTCACAAAACTTCCAAATCTGCTTTCAGATTGAAAATTCGTCATATTTGAAGAAAGTTATAATCATTTGAATATTTGTTCAAATTTCAATAGTAAATAAGCTGCTCCACGGTCAACGCCAAAGTCCAGTCAACACACAGCTGGCGAAGGCGGTTAAAAAGCTTCTTTCAACTGAAGGGCTACGTGCAAATTGAGAACCACAATCTGTGTAGTACTAGAATTT